CTCTCAAGGAGTAATTGCAGAGAGAGAAGCGTAGAGAGTAATTACCTTCTTCGGAGGTGGTTGGGGGTATTTATAGCCCCAAGTGCTGACATGTATCTGCACATGTAAGCCTCTCATTGGCCCACGTGGTGTTACCCACGTGGGTATGTCTCCTCCTCTTGGGCCTGTGGGTGCGTAGTTGGGCCTGCTGCATATGGCCCTAAGAGGGCGTTGGGCCTAATCCCAACACCTTGAGACACTCTCAAGGATTAAAACATTGGAGTTGAACAGCGTTGTTGATCTCAGGCATGTTTGGAGCAGGGACTTGACAAGTGTTCTTCAAAATCTTGAAACACTTAGAGTAATTTGGTGTAATGATTTGATTAGTTTATCAACATCCACGGCATCAGTCAAGAATCTCACAACTTTGGAGCTACGTAGTTGCCATAAAATGGAAAACCTGGTTTCAACTGCAACAGTCCAAAGCCTGGTGCATGTAAAGAGTATGACTGTAAGCCGATGCCTTAAGCTAACTGAAATAGTTGGAAGCCAAGGAGATACAACACAAGATCCCATTATTTTTAGCAGTTTGAGATATTTGAAATTTGAATGTTTGACAAGACTAGCATGCTTCAGTTCTGGGAATTACATCTTCGATTTCCCATATATGGAGCAACTAATTGTGGAACAGTGCCCTAAATTAGAGATCTTCTCTAAGACAGTTCCAAAAACACCACGGCTGCTGCAACTACAGGGAGGGAAATTGTGGAATTTGGAAGGTGACCTCAATACCAGCATACAAAGAATGTATACGGAAAAGGTATGAATTGATTCATAAAAATTTCTAATCAATTTACATAGCATTAGCCTAAGATTAGCCACCTATATATTATGTTTTTCTTGGTTTTCCGTTGTTCTTTTTCTCTGTTAATTCATTAATATGGTTTTGTGTCATAATTAGCAGTTAATGTATTGGTCTTTGCAGGTTGGATATGTTGGTTTGTCTGCTTTGAGTCTCTCTGAGTTTCCTCAACTGATGCAAAATTGGCATACTAGGAACCTTGAAATCTTAGAATTTAGATGGGTTGTGTATCTGGATATTTGTAATTGCAACAGCTTGAGATACTTGTTAACCCCCTCCATGGTCAGGAGTCTTGTGCTACTCATGAATTTGAATGTCCAAGACTGCAAAACAATGGAAGCAGTGGTAATGGAAGAAGGTGCAGAAAATGTGATAATGGAAGGGGGAGTAGAAAATAAAATAATACTCCCCCATCTGATGGGCATTAATCTGCACTCTTGTTCAGACCTGACAAGTTTCTATGTGGGAAGTTGCACACTACAATGTCCGAGTTTAAAAACAATTAATGCAGCTAATTGTCAAAAAATGGTTACATTCACTTTGTCATTCTCCGTAGAACAAGCCAAAGAGGATTCTCAAGCCTTTTTCAGCAATAAGGTTAGTTTCTTGGTGAAAACTTTCTGTTCTAAATTTATGTTGTATATAAAGAAGTTATAAATGACTAATTAACCACTCATTGCTGACAAAGTTATAGATTCAAGATACTGCAGTTCAAGAAATAGATCTATATTCAAACCCTAAACAACAGGTTGATAGTTATATATTCACGTCCTTGCTTTAGGAAATTTTGATTACACTAATACATTATTTTATGTTAATTAAACAACAAGAAAGTTGTTGATGAATTGGAAACTCTCTTTTCAGGTTGAATTTCCCAACTTGGAGTTCTTGACACTGAGTTCTCTTAACATTCAACAAATATGGCACAAGCAAGCTGATTGTGCTCAAAATTTATTGCGTTTGAGGGTGGTTGGCTGTGCTAATTTGAAATATCTATTCATATCCTCTATGTTTAAAACTATTGGGAAACTGCAATGGCTTGAGATCCGTAATTGTGGAATGATGGAAGAGGTGATAGTGACAGAAGCATTAGCAGAAGAAGAAAGGATGTACAAGATGGTCTTTCCAAAACTGGACAAGTTGCTACTACAAGACCTTCACAAACTTACAAGATTTTGTTTTGGAAATTTAGTTGAATTCTCCTGCCTTAGAGACTTTCATGTAATCAAATGTCCATTGATGAAGACATTCATCTCTAGCTCTATTACAGGAAACATGACAGCTAGTTCTGAAGAAGTGGAGAATACTTGTATACCACCTCTCTTCGATGCAAAGGTGACTTCTTCTTTTTACATTTCCTTTACTTTTCATTTGTGAAGTCTGGTATGACATCACTATATGTTGTAGTTTCACCCCATAATCTTTTACATATTTTAAAATTTAGATTCCATAAATCGTTTATTAAATTGTCCCTCTGATTATGTTTTCTTGTTAATGCAATTGGCTAAAATCTTCAGGTGGCATTCCCTAGTGTAGAGAAAATAGTGATTAGGTCTATGGAGAGCTTGAACAAGATATGGCAAGACCAACTTGATGCAGATTCTTTTTGCCAACTAAATTACCTTTGTGTAATATCATGTCGAAAGCTATTGAACATTTTCCCGTTAACCATGTTGGAAAGGCTTCAGAAACTAGACAAGCTGGACATAAGGAATTGTAATTCACTAGAAGAGATAGTTGAGTCACAAGGGCTTGGTGCTATCCAATCACAATCTCAAATAACCACCCAGTCAACTTTGGTAGAAACTCCCATAAAGTTAGTCTTGCCAAAATTGACACACCTTCATCTTAATGGGCTACCCAAACTGAAGGGTTTCGATTGTCAAACGCTTGATATTGAATGGCCATTACTGAAAAAATTGGAGGTGTATGGATTTAACCAAGTGCAGATATTTGCTTCAGAATTTTCGAGCTTCCAAAGAACTAATGGAGATGACCAATTTGGAATTGGGATCAACTGTCCTATTTTCTCAGTCAACAAGGTAAGAGCTCTAAGTACATTCATAGAAGCATGTGTCTGTAGCTATGCAGTTGGTTTCAAGTAAAGCTTTTATCTTGGCTTATTCACATCTTCAAATTGAGGTAATCAAGTGCATAATATATATAAAATATTTAAAAAATTATAACGATAATTAACTCATCATAGTTGGTTCAAAAGGAGATCACCAATTTGAAATTCAAACTAAATAATCTTTTTTCTGGATATGTGAGGTAATTTAAAGAAGTATGCTCATGTATCGGATGCACTTGCATAAAGCCTAGCTTTTCTCTTAAATGAACATATTCATAGGTATATTCTATATATAATACATTTTCAATATATGCTTATTTTCCAGGCCGGCTTATTAAGAAAACGAAACTTTTTTTAAAGAAAAATGTATAGAGGTAATACTTTTTAGTGATTTATGTAATACAGTTTGAATTTTACATTAAACTAAAATACCTTTAATGAAATAAAATAAGAAAAGTTTCATTCAAAGTATTTTAGCAAATTCATAGGATGGACTGCATTTTTAATATACAATCTATCTATAAAACACCTTTTTGTATTTTTTATATTATTTATGAACTTGAAGTAACTATTAATCTATCTAAAGATACAAGAATTTAGAATTTTTTTTCCTTTCTTTTGTCTTGTGGTAATAGATGTTTGATTTCTAATTCATGAATTAATAAAAATTCAAAATCTGCATATATTTATTTTTTTTTCCAACATTAAACTAAAAATTAGAGATGGCTAACAAAATCTGAACATTGAGCAATTCTTGCTCATGTGTATCAGCTAGTGATAAATTGAATACGGTACGTAGATGTGTATTATTCTGTAACCATTTTGCATCCTGCTTCTTTTATTCATTTTTAACATACTATATTTCCATATATATTTCAGGCCACATTCCCTTGTCTAGAAGAATTGGAATTGAAAAACAATGATATTATGAAGGAGATATGGCATGGACAATATCCGGGGGATTATTTTCCCAAACTAAAAGTTCTTAAACTCATCCAATTACCTGAGCAATCAGTTGTGCACCCTTTCCTCTTTCAGTCACCAAATCTTGAAAGGCTTGTTGTTAGTGAAGCTTCGTTTCTTGAACTATTCCAGTGTCAAGGACTTGGTGATAAGGCAAAACCTGCACTTGCACTTACTGAGTCAAGTGAATTAAGGTTATCTGAGCTTTTGGAATCAGTTTTCTATAACCTGAAAACCCTGGAAGTGTTACAGTGTAGCAACTTAAAGAATTTGGTGCCATCCTTTGTATCTTTGAAGAATTTGACAACTTTGGAAGTATCTGCATGTCATGAACTCATAAATTTAATTGAATACTCAACAGCCAAAAGCATGGTGCAGCTCACAAAAATGAGTATAAGTAAATGTCAAATGCTAAAAGAAATTGTGGCGTGTGTGGGTGAAGAAGTTAAGGATGGCATTGCTTTCATCCAGCTCAAGTATTTGGTACTTCGTGGTCTACCAAGACTAGCAAGCTTTTGCTCAGGGAATTGTGGCTTTGAACTTGCATCTTTGGAAGAAGTAATTGTGATGGGTTGCCCAAATATGCAGATCTTCTCTCGAGGGGAATGCAGCACCACTAATAAACTGCAAAAAGTGAAATTGACTGTGGATGAAGATGAAGGGTTCTGGGAAGGCAACCTTAACTCCACCATAAAAAGGATGTTCACAGAAAAGGTAGGCATTAATTCAAAATATTTACTTATGTTTTTTACCTTAATTTCCAAGTTTTATGTGCTACTCCTAGCCCTTTGTTGGTAAAATGTAAATTTTGCCAATAATAAGCATACAAAGTAGCACCAATAGCACCAATAATAAGGGCTGCTACCAAATCAAGTTTTGCGCAAAAGAATAAAGGTTAAACCCCCTTTTTGGTCCCTCAACTATTGTACGGACCCTCGATTAAGTCCCTAAACTAAAAAAATCCCTAATTTGGTCCCTACTCTTTACCATTTTTACCCCAATTTGGTCCTTCCGTTAATATTTTCACGTTAATTGACGGAAAAAACATAAAAATTGATAGGTTGGCAAAAATAAATGACAGGTTAGCAAAAGTAAATGACATGGCATTCCAACTCATCCCACCAAAAAAAAAAAAATCCCTTTTTTATTTTTTTTCTTTTTTCGTTTCTCCCTTTCCTTCTCTTCAAGTTCTGCAAATCCTAACTTCTCAACCAATCTATTCTCCTCAACCAATCTCTTACCTTTCTAATTTCTTCATCATTATCCAACAACAAAATCCACAAACAAAAAAAAGAAAATTTTTCTAATTTTTTCGAACCCAACACCTGGATTCTATCTAGCCCTAACTGGGTAGCCAAGTGCTGGGTTCGATCTATTCATCTCAACCAGTCTTTTTTTTTTTTTTTGATCAGTCATCTCAACCAATCTCTTAACTGGCTAGTTTCTTCATCATCATCAAACAAAACCCACAAACAAAAAAATGAAAATTTTTCTAATTTTTTGCCACTGGTTCGAAGGAACCTAGTGCGTGGGTTCCATCGAACCCAGTACGTGGGTTCCTTTGAACCCAGTGACTGGGTTCAAAAGAACCCTCGCCTGGGTTCCAACGAACCCAGTGCCTGGGTTCCTTCGAACTCAAGGATCAATCATCTCAACCAATCTCTTACCTTGCTAGTTTCTTCATCATCATCAAACAAAACCCACAAACAAAAAAAAAAAAATTTTTCTAAATTTTTTCTAATGTTTTGCCACTGGTTCGAACGAACCCAA